CGTGGCTAAGTAACCGAGTAAGGAGGTCAGTCTATGGATCATTCTAAACACATTAGGACCCTTTCGTGCCTCTGAGAGCCGTCGCGTCGGTCCCGGTAACCATACGAACATCTGTGGCAATCGTTACAGATAGTTGGAGCCCTAAAAAAAGTCCAAAAACATTCTTTCAGACAACAGTCAATGAGTCAACATAACTTTGATATCGCCTAGTACTTGTGCGTGGAGGTCTGATGACAGTCGCTCCTGGTAAAAAATCGAAGTTCAACCGTGTCGTAGTACCTATACTTAAAGCCGACCCCAACCTAGTTTGAGTAAGTAAGTTGTTGTCAGGTATACAGAAAAGATGTAAGGTTGCTTATTTCATCATTATATATAGTCAAATATTATAGCTGGACGATTGAGTTGCACCTTTCAGCTGAAAATCGTGTAGGTGTTGGAATTCCCAAACTCTGGAATCTTGTTTTAATTTTCGAAACAATCTCTGTCTCATCCCAATTCATAATTAGAACATTCAATTTATCGTGACGTACCTACGCATAAATATATTTATCTACATTATTTATAATGTAAGTTAATGTAAGTTTTGGCTATCCATGAGAGATGTACAAATATCTCATATGATTTAGCAATCATATTTTAACACCTGTGATTTATTTACAAAACCACTGCTACTTAATTATTATTGTTACGTTAGTGCAAGACCCACGAAAGGTCTAAATCTAAAAACAAAAGTTCGTGATCTTTGATAAAAAAAAATTGATTGATTTTAATGCCATTTATCTTTATCTATGACGAAATCACAATCACATGTAAAATCGCTGTGACTAAAACCAACCATTTATCAATGAAAATGATTTAAATGTAGCAATAATTTCCATGTCTAATGGGCAGGTTTGTTCCTTGACTGACGTCGATTTGCCAGTCAATCTGCGTAATAATACTATACATAAATTACATTTTTACACAATAGTCTATGCGTTTTCCTCTTCGATCACTACAAAACATGATAAATAGAAATAATCACGTATTGTTCATTTATCATCGTAGCGAAAACAAATTAATTGTCTTTTGTTCAAGGGTCTCTGACAATGTGAAATTACTGTTATAATACCTATTTATGTGTTTTGTATTTTTAAGTTCGATACATTTTAACTTGCTTGTGTACGTTCTACAGTTCCGTTGGTTTTTTTTGTAATATATCAACTATAGTTGTAGAATTCATCTAGGCTAGGCAGCGTATGGGAATCTACCTGCTATCTTCGAATTGCCGTTAGACCCGTAATGACATACGTAGACGAGGTGCTGACTGACCGAACTGAACTGGTCAAGAAGTCGCTCAGCGTGCGACAATGGATGTTTCTCACACATCACATCACATCGACAGCCTATAATAGGCCATAGGCCTCTCCTTAGAAAGGAGGTTTTGGCCTACCTACTATACCACGCTGGCCAGACGGGTTGGTATAGGGTTTGTGGCCCTAGATAAGACGGAGGCCCTGTTATTTCATGGGCCCCGTCGTGGTCCACCCCCTGGCGCCTCAATCGTGGTCAACTCGGTCCTCGTACCGGTTCGGGCCCAGATGAAATATCTGGGCCTGATCCTCGACGGGAGGTGGCTCTTCGACGAGCACTTCCGACAGCTTGCTCCAAAGCCGGTCGGCGCTGCGTCTGCCCTAGGGCGACTATTGCCCAATATGGGTGGACCCAGCGTCGCGACAAGACGGCTGTACACGGGGGTTGTCCGGTCAATGGCGCTGTACGGTGCACCGGTGGTACCACCGAATAGGGTACGCCTCTGGCGCCCTCAGAGGGTAATGGCGGTCAGAGCCATACGCGGTTACCGCACCGTTTCTACGGAGGTGGCATGCGCGTTGGCCGGAACTCCCCCGTGGGATTTGGAGGCGGAAGTGCTCGCCGAAGTTTATCGGCGAGTGGCTGACTCCCGGGCGGAGAGCGGATTTCGCCCTCCGCCCGAGGATGTGCGCGAGTGGCGCGAAGCCGCTCGCCGAGCCACGATGGCTCGTTGGTCGTTCCGGCTGGAGACTCCACGCGCTGGCTTCGCCGCCGTGGAGGCTCTCCAGCCGGTCATCGCCGAGGGACCCTTTCCTTCCGGCTGACGCAGGTGCTTTCCGGGCACGGTTGCTTCGGAAAGTACCTGCACACGGTCGCTAGGAGGGAACTGAGTCCCGTCTGCCACCACTGCGACTGCAATGAGGACTCGGCCCAGCACACGCTGGCGGTCTGCCCCGCATGGGCGGCGCAGCGCCGGGCCCTCACTGCAGTCATCGGAGTGGATCTCTCGCTACCGGCCGTAGTACGCTCCATGGCCGGTAGCGACAGTTGTTTTACCGCGGTCGCAACCTTCTGCGAGGTAGTAATCTCGCGGAAGGAGGCGGCGGAGAGGGCCCGGGAGGACGACCTCCACTCGGACCCGATCCGCCGCCGGCGAACCGGGCGGCGGAGGCCCGCCTATCACAGCCTCATGCCGCCCTGAGTGTGGCCGCGGGTGGACGGGGTGGGTTTCCCCTCCACCCGCATTAGTTTGGCCAGCCGCGAGGGGGCGGCGTCCGCGTGTGCCGGACGTCGCCTAAAAAGAGAGGAAAAACATCGAGACGGAGCCCGCACCAGGAGCGGGCTGGCGCTAGGAGGGGTCCGGATGTCTTAACAACAGCTGTTCCCGGATCCCTCCTGTTACAGGCGCAGAGTGGCACACCGTGTGGTTTTAGTCGGTCCGAGTCCGACACACCACCCCGCCGCAAACCCCGGAGGGGTGACGGTCCGAGGGGATTTCCACACGTTAAAAAAAAAAAAAAAAAAAAAAAAAAAAAAAAAAAAAAAAAAAAAAAAAGGGTTTGTGTCAAGTTTTCCCTCTCTTTTCAGTGCTGTGGTCCTGCGTAGTTTGCTCCCTCAGTCGGCTATTACGACACGAATAGGGGTGGTGACATGCCGTATTCTTATCCGTCACCACACCAATATTTCTCTAGGCAATAAAATTTGAAACAAAGTTATTCGACAGAGAATTAGAGTAACCAACATCGCACAGAGAATCAGTCGCTAAAGTGGGCCGGTCATGTCTAAAGGCGGACTTATGGTCGCTGGCCGACATGTGTTACTGTGGAGACCGTGATCAGGCAAACGTAGTGTGGGGCGCCAGGGGCGGCCTTTGGGAGAATGCGATTCAAGGTCTTCAAAACCATAATAAATTAAGCAGAATTACTTTTCACACATAAGTTGATGGTTTATGTATTGAAAATAACGTAAATAAGGCTATAATTGAATTAAAAAATCATCACTGCTATTTAGATTCAGTGTTACCATTAAAACATCGTTTTGGTTTTCCCACATCAGTAGGAGAATTTTTAATTTATGAAATAATATGGTTTGTACTGTTTTTAAATATCTTGGCAATAACAATAAAAAATAGAACGGACGAGAAGTGTACTTGATAGGGCTGGACCGATCTCCTTTTTAGGGACCGGTTGGACCTCCTTCCAAGCTCGCAGTACTAGAGACTTTTGTACAAGATAAATAATTCATTGTACTTGCGTAATTAATTTTCAATTTTTTAATAATAATTTTACAGGATAAAACCATTGTAACAAAAAAAAACTAGTTATTTTATTATTTAAACCTATTCCATTTAGTTAGAAATACATTATTTAAATTAATTTATCTTATTACAAAACTGCTTTAAAAACTCTTTTTTCCTCTCGGTTGTTATGGGTATTTGCTTCTCTAGTTGTTTAGCTCAATGCCAAAACTGCTCAAAACAATTTACCTTTATTTAGATACTAGCTTTTTTGAGGGCTCTGCCCGCGTTTATGTCGGTTATCGCGTTAACAAGTAGCCTATGTCTTTCTTCGAGAATCAATTGGGTAACGACATCTAAATTGGTTCAGCGTTTATTGATGCCCCGTAAAAACTTCCATTCCAACTTAATTTATATGGTCAAAACTACCCTATGTCCTTTCCCAGGAGTCGGACTATCTCTATACCAAATTTTATCTAAATCAGTTCAGTGGTTTAAGCTTGAAGGGGTACCAGACATGTAGTCAGACAGAAAGACAGACCGACAGACAGAATGTCGCATTTATAATATTAGTATGGATTATCACAGTCACGTTGCCGCAAATGTGATAAGCGTTTTGAGGCCGTGCAAAGTTTGTCTGAACAACCAAAGAAGGTATATAAAGGTTTATATTCAACAGTATGACGTATTATAGTCGTGGTAGATTGATTGTAAATCGTAACGTGCGTAAACGTAAAGCCAGACTCAGACGCGTGCCGCGTGGTCAGCTGTCTAGCAAGATGGTGGCGTGGCTTCGAGCATGCGCGGTTGTCATGACGCCATGAGTTGAGCTGCTGCGGAAAAATAACGTTTACAACCGTTTTGTAAAAACTCGCCCTATAACTAACAGTTAAATACGTTATTTTACAGCTTGAGGTATTTTTTTCATTGTATTTATTGTATTAGATAGAGCTTTTACTGAATACGGTTATTGACTATATCAAACCAAGCTACGTCTTTTAGGAGCGTATTCAATGATCATAAACGCGAAACTGTAAGGGGCTGTAAAGTATTCCATAAAATGGTACACCCTCTCAAAAACTAATATACCTACTCAACAATAATTGTACTAGTAATTTACCAACCAAATAAATAAAAAAACTAAATTAAAAAAAAAAGGGTTTTTTCAATTAAACCTAATTAGGCCAATCATAATTAACTTTATAAACATGTATAATAAAGTTAAGTATGTATATAATTAGACAAGTTTTTAGAGTAAGTATAAAAGAAGGTACCGTACATGAAAATAACGTAGTTATTGAAAAACTTCGAAGTGGCATCACTAGTGTCGTTAAAGCAAATATAATAACGAGGGCGCGGAGTTACTGAACGATCAGTCTGTCAGTTGTGGTTGCGGTGGGTGCACGCTGAATAGAAGGCGCCTGTAGGCAGCGATCTATTTTTCTTTTTTTATTTGGCTTCTAGCCGTTGTATGGGTGAGTCTTTACTATGAAAATACTTCATTATTCATAAGTCCAACGTCTTGTGTTAAATTGACCGTTTTATCAAGTATTTTAGACAAAGACCGTGTACATGTATGGTGTTGTATTGTGTGAAATGTCATAGGCGCTGTTTCTATACGTAAACAATGCCGTATATAGTGTTTTATCGACTCGAAACGGGCACAGGAAACAGTATTTTGAGTTTTTCATTTGGTTATATGACTTTTTTTTGGTTTATAAGAGTAACGTGCTAAGAGGAAAACAAACATACGTGTTGTCAAGAATTAGTATTGAGTGAAACGTAAGATATAATACATGTAGCTTCTACAAAAAGGTTCAAAGCTTGTTTCTAAATTAGCAAGTGTGCGGGTTAGACAGTGACATTGATCCAGGATGTTTGTATTATAAAACTGACATACTACCGTTTCTTTTATATGCAGGTTTAGTTTTTACTTCGTTAATATAGTATCAATATAAACTACATGTATTTAAAATAAAACATTAGGTACTAATTGGTTCGTATATTGTAGTTCATTTTGAATATTATTTAAGGAGTACCGTATGTTTAACAGAAGAGTGTTTAATAAATCTTACTGCTGTTATAAATATAAAAGTTTGGATAGAAGATAGTATTTTTAGTATTAATTAATTAATTACTTACGTGCTAACTTTAAATATAGTAATACTAAAATAATTACATTTCTAATTAAGTAGTCTTTAATTAAAATTTACTCCATTAGATAATTAAGATAAGAATTTGATATTTAGTCCTTACCTTTTGGTTGCGTCTATATGTCCTTGCTCCGAAAACCTTAAACAGAAATATATTCTAGGTCAAATGCAACAATTTGAAAGTAACGTTGAAGTTATGATATATATTGGTCATTTCCGCATTTAATGACCATTTACTACAGGTAATAATTTTATAGCCACCATATTTGATTTGCACAGATTATCATCACCGTCATTTCCCTTTCGCGAATTTATTTAGGTTTAGCGCAATATGTTTGCGTAATAACATCTAATGCAGAGGTGAGACCGACAGTTGGCGTGGCCACGCGAAGCCACGGCATGCGTCGCCACGCTAAGTGATAGTATATGTAACATGTCCTGCGTTCCTGTCATAAGCTATCCTTTGATGTCCAAATCTGTCGAACGTCCCGTCACAACTCCATTCTATTTTCTCCACTTTTCTTCTATCCTTGTTGACTCTCTTTTCAGCTACTAAATCCTCTTTGCCGCAATAATTAATTACACAGATAATAACAAAGGCAGGGGACGGTGACAAAATCATTGACAAATGTTAAATGATTTTACAGTATCCCTCTTGTTCTTGTAAAGTGTAGACAATTTTAAATTATGAGACTACTCATATTTTCATTTAATGTACGGTTAGTGATTAATTTTCATATTCTCACAATGATAATGATCTCTTCGGCAAATGACATTAATGTCATTTCGTTTTAATGGTCGCATTCGGCAACAATATTAAAATTCTTGTTTTACATTTATAGAGCTAGACAATATTTTTTGAGTATCTATCGTTATCTAATAATTAAGTTACTATCTATTTTTGGAAACGGTTACGTTACAATATTAGTCGAATTATACTGCAAATACTTTTACTTGTAAGAATTGGTCAGGGGTTAGTCCTGACTGCTAAGAACTCATTCGTTCTGTGTCTAAGTTTATTTAATCTATATCTAACCGACCCGCGCAATTTTGTCAATGTCTCTCAATAAAAAGGAATAAATTTACATACATTACCCCGTTATTGCAACATTTTTCTTTGATGCTCGTATCCTATAGTCGTAGCTTAATATTATATAGTCTATAGCCATCCTCGATAAATAGGCTATCCAACACTAAAATAATTTCTCAATTCGAATCAGTAGTTTCTGAGATTACCACGTTCAACCAAACACACAGTCTTCAGCTTTATAATATTAGTATAGGTATGTAGGTAGGTAATTAGAAATATGCTCTCGGCGGCAACGTTTAGCGTTGCGATTGGTGGAGATTTCAGTGCGGACCAATCACATCGCCGAATGCGGTCACTGTCACGATCGAGTAGAACTCAGTAGAAGGCCCAAGGCCTAAGGGTAGTAGTCGAGAGCGAGTCGATGTGAAATAAACTCACATTTGGACCTCTGGTTAACATAGTAAAGAAAGAAGAAGAGAGAAAGAAAATACGCTTATTAGGCACAATACATACACAACAAAAAATAATAATAAAAAATAGAGATTAAATAAAAGAAACACTTTGCTAAAGAATGGCACAAACAATTATAAAAGAATAAATTATCACTTTGTGTGACTAACGGGGCCACAACTCAGCCTTTGCTATGGTCCCTATAGTGACCACAGCGCTGATTTTCAGCTGAAGCCCAAAGATAGGTAGGTACAGGCTCTGCCTAGTTTGGGATCAGACGACCGCGTGTGAAATGTCTGAAGGTATTACTATAAAATTATTAATTTGATAATTTTTTACTTAAGACTTCTTAGAAAATTATCTATGTCGACTTTATTGTAGTTCATAAAATAATTATACGTACTTATCGTCCATTGATTGTGGTGTTCTGTTATCCTACGCAATGCCCTTTATAATAATGATAAACGCCTACAAAACGTGACGCACCCAATGTCAATTTACTACAGCAATAGAAGGTTAGAAACTACAGCAATAGAAGGTTAGAAAACGCCTACATAACGTACTGATATTTGACCTTTTTGGTATTAAACTGAAGCTGCAACTAGATTTTCATGTTTATCAACATAATTGTTTATTTCTCACTTCATTTCGTCTTTTTCAAATTCTATTAGATTTTTTTTCTGTATTTAAAGTATAGGGTAGTAGATTATTAGATGGTCCGGATGACTTAATAACAGCTGTTCCCAGATCTCTCTTATGTTAGGCGCAGAGTGGCACACCGTATGGTTTTAGTCTGTCCGATTCCGACACATCGCTCCGTCAGAAACCATGGTTGGCCCGAGGGGGTTTTAACACGTAAAAAAAGGGTAGTAAATTACCTTATACTCGTAGCTTAAAGGATTGGAAATTTTTATTATGGCCGGACGAGCGATACCTCAGTAAAATATATATGAAAAATTGTTTGTAAATCCGTTGTTATTGTGGGAGAGGCCTGCTTTAGTACATTATGGCCCGGCTCGATCGGATTGACACCACGTCCTCACAGAAAACCGATGTTTAAGGTTTCGAAGATTTTCTTGGGATATAGGCCAAAAATGAATTGTATTAATGAAAATATAAAATGAAAATTGTACATTACACGAAAGCTTTCAATGTTTTCCGTTTTGTGTTGTTATATATAAACATTATATATTAGGGAAGTAGATATCACGTAGAGGTATAACTAAATTTTGCGTGTGTACTACTTAGATTATAAGACGTTGTTAATTATTGTAATACTAAACAAAGATAACGACGTCACTACAAATAACTTAATAAGATACCAATTGCACATCCACAAATTACTAGAATAATATTGTAATGAAAATAAAATTGTTTAATTTTTCTTCATATCGAAGCCTGTGTTCCATACACCTTCAAATTGTTTTGACGATATGTATCTTCTGTACATTTTACACCAAAACTACTTATGAATTCATCTATTTACTGTCGACTTGTCCATCCAAAGTTTCCCTGTGAGAAATTGCTCTGTCTCTGTAATTTATGAACCTATTCTCTCTATTTTATTTTTTGGTCTCTGAAACTTGAAGTAAAAATACCCCATAAGGATAGTAAATCCTAGTTCATCTAATCTAAGAGGTACCGTTTGACAGTTCTGACAGATTGAAGTATAGCGATGAGGTCAAACAACTCGATTACTACAACATCCGATTCTTAAGAGATACCGATGTCATTTTTTAGTATGTACTAATCGATTACAGTTTTACAGATTTATGTATGTTACTATAAAAACCCGTATAATGGTATATCATAGGTCTTACTAGTAAATCTTAGTATACACTCGACTCGGACACGAGCGATTTTTGCCTACAAAGATTTATTTACAATGCAATACAATGCATGAACTAGAATTTGAAAAACGCTGTCTTAGTGGGTTCGATTCCCAGACCGGGCAAAATTTTATAGCGTTCTTCAATGAGAAAAATAACCTAAGTTACTCCTTATGTAGACAGCTACCTGGTAGTAAAATATTATCTAAATCGGTCCAGCCGTTTTGAAAATTACCCGGAACAAACAGACACACAGATGAACAAAAAATATTTAAACTGGTTTTTAGGCATTGGTATCGTGCAAATAACCGTGTGAGTATGAAAAAACCTATTATTTTGACATTAAAAACCGATACTTCAATTTTGCAAAGTATTATAAACACAAAAGCCTGGATTGAAAATGACTCCTTTTCAATAAATTCGATTTTTTGTACATTTTAATGATTATTCGTATTCAAGTGAATTTGAAGAGCCGCAACACTACGATAAGCGGTGCTAAGGGTGCGGGTCAGCTCCAAGAGCTTACTGAACATGATTGCGAGTAGACTAAATTGTCCATAATATGACTCGTCGCATCGGGGTTTCTTAATTTATAAACCATACTAATATAGCTGTAAGTTCTAATTTTTACCAACATCTTTGAGTCTTAGTTACTCCAATAAATAATTTATTATTATTATTATAGGACCTGAGTGACTTTGAAACGAAGTTTGAAAAAGTGTATAATTTGCTTTGTTTAAAAATAAATAAATTTAGTCATTAAGAATTGTATATCTTGCGGTAAAATAAAAATAGCTTCATAATTCAATAGTTTCAAGGAACAAGTTATTGAAATCGTGTGAGTTACGCCTATACAAAGTTGTTTCGTCTCTAAAAGTATGAAAACTCAAATGGTACCACTTAGATTAAATTGACTATAGGAATAGGAAGGAAGAATACCGTTTTTTCCAATTTTATTACAATAATGACTAATTGAAGTCGCTAATAGAATTTCTGAAATTCGGCCACAATAT